AGTGTGGATGGGTGGGGCTCCAGGTGGAGGGCTGGAGGGGAGCGCTGGGGGGAGGGGAGGGAGAAGGGATTGACATGTGAAGCAAGCTTGTTCCTAATTTGAACCAGAAACAATTAATTACAAAAAAAAATAAAATTAAAAAAAAAAACCTGCTGAGATCCTATTTTACCATGTCTCTACCTAAGCTGAATGCTGGGTAAATATAAGAGTAAAAAGACCGCCCAGGCATAGTGGCACACACCTTTAATTCCATGACTTGAGAGGCAGGGACAGGCGGATCTCTGTGCATTCAAGGACTGCCTGGCCTACATAGTGAGGAACAGTCAGAGATACATAGTGAGACTCTGTCTCAATAAACAAATAAATAAAAGGACTGAGTTGGGGATTGGAGAGTGGGTTAAGAGCACTTGCTGCTCTTGCAGAGGACCCAGATTCAGTTCCCAGTACCCATATCAGGTAGCTCACCACTGTTTGTAGTTCAAGCTCCAGAGGATCTAATGCCCTCTTCTGGTCCCACAGGCACCTGCACACATGCGGTGCACATACATACTCAGGTGCACATAAATACATACACAATTTTTAAAACTGAGGTAGAAAAATAACTCCGTAAGTAAAGACACTAGTGGCCAAGCCTGAATCTGCCTTGATCCCAGGACCCACATGGAAGGAGGCAGGAACCAACTCCTGCAAGAGGTCCTCTGAACCCCAATGCATACTGCGGCAAATACAAGTACACACACACACACACACACACACACACACACAGAGAGAGAGAGAGAGAGAGAGAGAGAGAGAGAGAGAGAGTGTGTGTAAATAAATGGGTTTTTTCTTTGTAAATAGTAAAATGATTTAGGGTTGGATTATGGGACCAATAAGAGTGATTAGCTATGGTTAAAAACACTTGCCACAGAAGCCTGACAAGCTGAGTTCAAGGCTGGAACCCACAGTAAAGAGAACTGACCTTGAACGTTGTCCTCTGACCTCCACATACACGCTGTGATGCTTGTGTGTGTCCCTCCCACCGCCACCCCCCCCAATAAATAATAAATACAATTTTAAAAAGGTTTAAGATTATGGTTACCACCCTCATCCAGTTATGACACAAGAGAATGAAACTGATCATGAACACAATATAGAACGTTCAGTTCCAGCCAGGCGTTGGTGCTGCATGCATTTAATCCCAGCACTCTGTGAGTTTGTGCCCAGCCTGGTCTCCAGAGCGAGTGCCAGGATAGGCTCCAAAGCTACACAGAGAAACCCTGTCTCGAAAAACAAAAAACAAACAAACAAACAAAAAAGAACACCTCAGACACATCTGTACCCACTCTTCATGGCCCATCACAGCACACAGCACATGTACAGGAGTCAACAATTAACATTTTCTAAAAGGCCTACAAAACATTAGACCTACAGATGAGCACTCCATATGCATCATCTCAATTCATTTTTACACCTTTTCCTTTTTTTTTTTTTTTTTTTTTTTTGGAAACAGGGTCTCACTATGTAGCTCTGGCTGTCCTGGAACTCACTATGTAGACTAAGCCAGCCTCTGTCTCATGAGTGTTGGGATTAAAGGCATGTGCTACTATGTCTGGCTTAACTATTCATTTTTCATACTTATTTTTTATAAATGATGAAACTGAAACTCAGAAAAATTAAGTCACTCATCCAAGAGCACACAGTAATTGAAAGCCTATACGCCGACAAAACTAAACTGAAGCCTAAACTCACCACTCCAAAGCTGAAGTTTTCACACCAGTACTGGAGGGAGAAAAGGAAGAAGAGAAATGGTGCTATGGCAGTTAGGACCACACAGAGATATTCCTCTGAAGCGGGCAGGGAAGCACACTGTCATTGAAGAGGTAGTATTTGAACTATGACTTGCAAGATGGATGGAAGAGCAAGACCAGGACTGGCAGGTACAAGGAGGGAGTCCATTACGGACTGTAAAGACAATGCAGCTAAAATACAAGGTCATATTCACATTACACTTCAAAGATCTGAGGGAGAAGAGACTTTGTGCATATTGGGTTTTCTTCCTTGGAGCTCAGCAGCACAAGTCTGGAGCAAGCGTGCAGAGGAGGGACCAGTTCTAGGAACAAGCCAAGAAGACGGGGCTTGGTGATCATAAATGAAGGATGAGAACCTGGATTAGAGGGGAGAGGCCAAGCTGTGGTCTAAAAGATTAAAAGTTCCAGATCTGGGTACAAGTCAAGGGCACCGCGGGTGCCTTAGAAGGACCAGGGGCAAGGTGTGGAGAATAAGGAGCTACATAGCGGGTCAGAGATAGAACATCAAAGGAGCCCGAGTCTGAAGTGGTCAGGGAGAGGGGACAAAGGCTGCAGAAGTGTCCAAAGAGGCTGTCTTGGTGGGAAGGCAGGGGAAAGTTGGAGGAGTCTGGCTACAGCGTCCTGGAGGGCAGGAGCTGGGTTCAGAGATGTCGATGAGCTTGGGGCTGGAGGTCGAAGAGCACGAGGGGCGACCCTAAAGGCACGGTGTATGGGAGGGGCACGGAGCGGTCCAAGGCCAACAGTAAGGGCAGGAGGGTAGCAAGGCTGGGCCGTCCCAAGACACGGACAGGATCACGGGGGAGGGACGCACAGCCCCGGTGGCCTTTGGAACCCGCGGAGCGAAACAGCAGCTTCCAAGCCCTTGGCAAGAGCGAAGGGGCCACGCTCGGAGCGCCCCGCGCGTCGCGTCCGCCTCCCCCCACGTCACCTCAGCACAACCGCGACCCACCTCACTCGCGCAGCTCGGTCAGGGACAGCGCCGCCTCGGTGGGCGGGGGAAGGAGCCGGAGCCGGAACCCAGAGAGGACCCGCCTCCTCCGCGTCAGGATTGGATTCTGGGAACATCCTTCCTCTCTACGGCCAATAAACATTGGTCTATGGCACAGCATTCTGGGAGTTGTAGTCCTGAGGCGGTTTGTGTCTCTGAAAACATTTGCCTGCTTCAGCTGTGAAGCTGTCTTCACTTCTAAGGTTTCTTTTCTGTTTCACTTTTGAAATGGTGGCCCTCGATAGAAGCCTCGCACTTAGTTTAAGGTTTATAGTTTAAAACTAAAAGAACATGTACTTGGAAAGAAGTTTAAAGATAAGTATTCGGATTTTTTTCTGCCCAAGAAGCTAAGTGTCCCCGTCCAAGGACTGACCTTCAACCAGGTTGGCTAGTGGCCCATACAGGGATTTTCTGTGTCCTGCATGATCCTCTGTTAACTCAATAATCTCATCAGTCTGGATACAGTAGACCAGTAAAGTATTCAGAGCTGGATTTGGTTTGGTTTTGTTTTGCTTTTTGAGTATTATTTTGAAAAACAAAGATTAGGAGCCTGCAAGATAAAGAGTGTAGAGATTAATTGAATGTGTAAAATAACTACAAGCTTTTTGTGTTTGCATGGTCTTTCAATGCTTGTCTTTGGAGCTGGAAAAGGTTTAGGGCTAGAGATGGCACGGTGGTTAAGAGCACCTAAGCTCTTTCGGGGGACCTGAGTTCAATTCCTAGCATTCACATAAGGCAGCGTATAACCATCTGTAGCTCCAGATCCAGGGATCCAATGCCCTCTTCTGGCCTCCTTGGGCACCTGCACATGAGTGCACACACACACACACACACACACACACACACACACACACACACACACACACACACACTGAAAAAAAAAAAGAGAATGACAAATTTTATAATCCCAGCTCTCTCTTGTATAAAATCCCTGACACAACTATTGTAAGGAGTAGATGAGTGGATAGATAGATAATTTCCTGCCTCCACAAATAGCTCTCCTTTCTGTTGGTAACTTTTCTCACTAGGTAAGACCAGTATGCATTAGTTTTAGGATTGGCTCTTCAGGCAATTATTTTTGGACCTGAAGATGTGTGTGAAATATAAGTATCCATTATACACTATTAATTTATAAATTGATAAAAAATAAAACATCAGAAGGCACACTCTGGAGTAAAACTGGGTTTATTATGAACTGTGTCTGAAGTTTGCTTGAACAGAAGCTGAGCTATTCAGAAACCAACCCATCATGTGTTTTCTCCACAACTTCCTTCACAATGAAGACAACATGCCAAACAATAAATACTAAAAGTTGTATTTAATAACTGTACAAAGACAAACAAAATATTCCCCCTGGGCCCCATAATGGCAAATTTTATGTGTCACCTTGACCAGGTCACAAAGTTCCCAGATACTTCATTAGACATTATATTTGTTGTCCCTGTGAGGGTAGTTTGGACAAGATTAACATTTCATCAGTAGATTGAGTAAAGCAGTTACCCTCCTTAATTCCTGTTGGAGCCATCCAACCAGTGGAAGTTCTCAGACCAGTTCTGTGGCCTGTCAGGCTTTGGGCAGGACATCAGCTCTTTCCCTGCCTTGTACTGGAATTAAAACATTGGCTTTCTAAGTCTCCAACCTGCCTACTCCAGTCTCATATTTATTCATTTTCTGCCCCCACCCCTCACTACACACACACACACTCTGTTGGTTGTTTCTCTAGGGAACCCTAAGCTAATACAGGCACTATTGGAAAGAACTTGTAACAGATCTAGTTGTAGAGGGGTCCAGTTGCCTTCCCACCTGCAAATTGATGGGAAACTCCACAAATAGGCTGAATCACATATCTGGTATTACTTGAAATTGCCTTGCCTTCTTTTTCTAATCCACATTTTAAAGTGTGTGTGTGTGTGTGTGTGTGTGTGTGTGTGTGTATGTATGTATGTATGTATGTATGTATGTATGTATGTATGTATAGTTATGTGCAGTGAGTCAAAGGTGCCCTTGAAGGCTAAAAGAGGTAACCTCGTCCTCTGGAGCTGGAGTTCCAGGTGGTTGTCAACTGCCCAATAGGGGGCAGAAACCAAACTCAGGTCCTCTGCAAAAGCAGTACAAACTCTTAAGGGAGCCGTCATTTTTCCGGCCCTGAATTCATTGTTTTATAGTCTCACCTTATACTCTTTCAGATAAGATGTCTTATATGGTTTGGGGGGCGGTGAGACAGGGTCTCACCATACAGCTCTAGCTGTCCTGGAACTCATTATGCGGACCAGGCTCATCTCAAACTTAGAGATCCACCTGCTGGGATGAAAGATGTGCACTACCATACCCAGAAATAAGATGTCTTGTCAGCTTTCTTGAAATCAGTAATCTCTGACTCAGAGGCTATTGTCAAGTCTTGAAGAGTAATGGTCTTGTGGGTGTATTGAGGTGAATGGCTCAAACTGCCATTTTTCTCACTGAAAAATGAGGTTATCAGAAGGGCTAGAGCCATAGACTGCAGAGTAACTCATCTGCTCAAGGCCACACAGCTGGACTGCTTTGTTTACAGCTGTGCCTACCAGCCCCGTGCCTATGTTGAGGTTTTGGGGGACTTTATGGTTCCTGGTCATCATGTAAGATAATTAGTTTTTGAAAACATGTACAGTCTGGATGTCTCCATTTCAAAACAGCTGTTGAAAACATACACTGTGGATGTCTACAGCCAGTGCTATAAACAAGCATGAAGAAAATAGAAAACTATGGGGGTGTTGACATCTCTGTTTCAGTCCAAAGAAAGGGGGATGCGTGATTTACAAGACATGCTTGTAAAGAGCTGGCTTTGGGAGTTAGCAGCCTGAACTGGGCAGAAAAGAGAAGAACAGTCATTGATGGAAGAAGACGTCAGGGTCTGGGGCATAGCTTCACAAGTGAAAACCCACTGAGAAGGCTGACACTGAGAAGTTCCTGTCAGGGTTCCCTCAGGTCCAGAGCCCTGTCCCCTGAGCCTGCACTGAACGCTGCTTCGATACAACCAATGTCTCCTACTAAACCTCTACTGATTCAGCTGTGTTCATTACAAGAAGGCACCCACCAGGGCAACGGAAATGTCTAGTCTCTAGAAGAATTAAAAGGCAATGTTCAGAATTGAGCCCTGGGAGAAAGGTGGTACCACAGAAGGGTCTGGATTTGAGTCAAAGACATGAAGTACTGAAGAAACAGGTGCTGGGCCAGGAGACAGAGTCCAGGGTGCTCATGTGAGTGAATCACAGGACACAGCCCTACAAAGAAGGAGCCTTGAACCCCTGCAGGGCAGGGCCAAGGTTAGAGGGCCAGGTATCATTGACTGGGAAAAGCTTAGAACCCTGAGGAGACAGTAAGGATGGATTCACCGTCAGGGACACATCTCCATTAGCTTGGCTTTTTCCTTCTTGTTTGGTGACAATCGATTCATCTGACTTCTGTAGTTCAGTACAAATGATTAGAGGTGCTGTGTTTCTCCCCTCATCATGAAGACAAGGTTCAAAGAAAGGGCGAAGGGGGCTCGAGAAGCTGTGGGTGAAGGTGAAGATGTGGGACTTGTCGGTGACATTGTAGAAGGAGATGACCCCTGCTTCATAGTCCAAGAAAACCCCCACACACTTTGGGGACTCCTTCAGACGGAAGGAGGTCTGCGGGGACGTGAGAGCTTCATACTCATTCCTACGGCTCTGTCGCACAAGCCAGTGGCCGTTGGCAGGTGAGGCTGTGACCTTCCCTTTCCTGCTCACAGACTCGCTACACACTCCAAGGATCCATTTGGTCTTCTCACCCACGTATACTTCCCAGTAGTGACAGCCAGTTGTGAAGGACTCAGAGCCGAGGACGCTGACCACAAAATCAAACCTCTGAGGGTTGTCAGGAACAGGCCGCTTTTTGTCGCCCAGCCTCACACATCTCCGATCCTCAGACAGGATGAGTTTGGGATGTGCTGTGTCAGGGTCCAAGGTCACCACCACTGTGGAGAGTTAGAGGTGAGAAGAGAAATTTATGTTTTAAGGAATCTTCAGGTAGATTTGGAGGGAAGGATACTCTGGAGGTCTGCAATCTATCGTTAATTTGGTTTGGGTTGATTTTCCCTGACCACCTGCTTGCAGGCAGAAAGCTTGCCCAGTGTGCCTGAAGCCCTAGGTTCCAGCACTATGTAAAACAGATGGGGTGATACACGACAGTGCTGGGGAGAGGAGGCTGGAGCATCAGTTGCTCAAGGTCATCCTTGGCCCCAGAGAGAATTCAAAACCAGCCAGAACTGAATTAGACTTCCTCAAAAAGACAAAACACACACACAAAAATCTACACTTGGGTGTTAGACCCTGTTCTGGTTAGTTTTTGTCAACCTAATAACAAGTTAGACTAGTGGTTCTTGACCCATGCATGGGTCGAGACCCCTTTGGGGGTTGTATATCAGATATCCTTTATATTAGATACTTATATTCCAATTCATAACAGTAGCAAAGTTAGTTACGAAGTAGCAACGAAATAATTTCATGGTCGGGCTCAGCACGACATGAGGAACTGTATTACAGGTTGCAGCATTAGAAAGGTTGAGAATCACAGGGTTACAGTAATCTGAGAAGAGGGAGACTCATTTAAGAAAATGCCTCCCGGGCTAGAAAGATGACTCAGGGGTTAAGAGCACTGTCTGCTCTTCCAAAGGTCCTAAATTCAATTCCCAGCAACCACATGGTAATGAGATCTGATGCCCTCTTCTGGCCTGCAGGTATACATGCAGGCAGAACACTGTATACATAATAAATAAATAAATCTTTAAAGAGAGAGAGAGAGAGAGAAAGGGAGGGAGGGAGGGAGGAGAAAGAAAGAAAGAAAGAAAGAAAGAAAGAAAGAAAAAAATTCCTCCCATCTGGGCAGTGGTGGCGTACACCTTTAATCCCAGGAGGTAGAGTCAGGCAGATCTCTGTGGGTTCCAGGGCCAGCCTGGTCTACAGAGCAAGTTCTCGGATAACCAGGACCACATAGAGAAACCTTGTCTTGAAAAAAAAACTAAAACAAACCAAAATGCTTCCATCAGATTAAACTGTAGGAAAATCTGTTGGGTTCATTTTCTTGATTAATAGTTGATGTGTCAAAGCTTGATTAATGGTTGATGTGGCCGCCTGTGGGTGGTGTCACCTCTGGGCAGGTGGTCCTGAGCAGGCTGGACAAGCCATAGGGAGCAAGCCAGTAAGCAGCATACCCCATGCATCCAGATTCCTACTTTGGCTTTGCCTGATGATTAACCATAAACTGTAAGTCAAATATACCCTATCCTCCTGTTAGGGTTACTATTGCTATGATGAAACACCATGACCAAAAGGAAGTTGGGGAGAAGAGGGTTTATTTGGCTTACAGATCCTTGGTCAAAATACAATTTACAATCTTCATTCAAATGGAACGGGATGAAAACTTAAGTGACAGAGTTTGAGAAAGATGGACTCTGAAATGGAAACCGGTAAGGTTGATTTAACTTACCAAAATGCAGTCGGGCTCTTCTCCAGCCTGAAAAGCAAAGGCAGGGTTGTTAAAGCAGAGTAGAAACAGAGGCAGCCCAGAGGGCAGAGCCTAATGGGGGCAAGAGTGTCTCACCTGCATTGGCTGCTGCTCTTTTCAACTCTGGGGGAGAAGAAACAGGAGGTGAGCTGTCTGTCACTGGACTTACAGGGAAGGAGATAAGTTGGCATAGACATTTTAAAAATGTGGGAAACTTACTTAGTTCACTCCGGAGTTTCTCTGAAGAATAAAAACAGTGAACACATCAGAAAAGGACAATTACCCACTCACAATGCTTTGGTCCCTCACACCCATAGCATGGTTAGAAGCAGCCATGTCCTGGGACTTCCCCCATAATGATGTCTGCAATAGTGACATGGCTCCCAGCCGTGGCCCAGACATATGACAGATGATCCCCAAATTCCTATGTGAGCCAAACCTCAACTTCATGTGATGATATTCTGTTTGTGCTCTAACAAATAAAGCTTGCCTGAAGATCAGAGGAAGGAGGCCAGGCAATGGTGGCTCATACCTTTGATCCCATAAACTTGGGAGCTCATGCCTTTGATCCCAGTACTTGGGAGGCACATGCCTTTAATCCCAGCACTAGGGAAGTGTAGACAGGAATATAAGGCAGGTGGAGACTGGATCTCGGCCCTTTCAGTCTGAGGATTTTGTAGAGGTAAGAACTTAAGTGGTTGGCTGCTTAACTTCTCTGATCTGTCAGCTTTCACCCTCTAATATCTGACTCTGGGTTTTTAATATTAAGACCAATTAGATTCGTGCTGCACCTACAGGTCCAATAAATACTACATGTCACACTTGTAGGTGACAATATAAGCGAAGTGTGTAAAGATATTATCCAATAAAATATAAGCTTATGTAAAACTATCACCAAATCCCTATTAAATCTTGCATGTATATTTTCTCTATGTAAAATATGTAGACATGTCACATGCCTTCAGTTTTTTGTTTGTTTTCTTCTTTTTTGGTTTGGTGGTGGTGGGTTTTGGTTTGTTTTGGATGCAAGGTCTCACTAGGCAGCTCTGCTGGCCTGGAGTTTGATATTGTATATATCAGGCTATATATCACAGATAGGGCTCCCTCTGCCTCTTGAGTGCTGGGATTAAAAGTATGTGCCACCATGCCTGGCAGGTTTTTGTTATTATTAAATGTTAAAAATTGGTTCCCATGGATGAAATGGCTGAGAATTCAGAAGGCTGTGTCACATTTAAGTCAGGATTCAACTGCCATAGACCCTGCCTAATGGAATACTGTGCCTGAATGTAAAGGATGTCCAGATGGCTTCGCCTAAGAGAGGCGCACATTTTGGTAAAACAGTTCCCACTTAGAAGCTACATAAGTGCTGTGAAGGAAAGAAAAGCAAAGAGCATTCACAATGGGGCTGTCAAGAGCCAGGAAACCCTCAGCCTCCTTGAATTACCCTGTTCCCCTGCCCACATAGTGAAACTGAGTCACTCAGCCCGCAGCAGAGACGGCAGCAGAAATAAGGTGGTGCAACAGAACTTTCCAGAACTTACTGAGGGCTTTGTGGAGTCTTCCTGAAAACCAGAGAGAGAGAAGAGTGAGTGACCAGAGCTTGACCCTGGAGCTCTGAATAGACTACCACGCTGCCACCCTATGAAGAAAAAGTTGGAGCTGCTTCCATCAGTTCCTAATCCAATCCCTGGTTTTGAAGGTCAGACTCAAGAGTCCATTGGAACTTGTGTCATTTTCCTGCCAGCAAGCTGACCTTTGGTCCTCCTTTTCCTTTGTTTCTGTCTGGTTTCACTTCCTCTGTCTGTTTCCATGTTGATAATACTAGAACGTGCAGGCGCGCGTGCGTGTGTGTGTGTGTGTGTGTGTGTGTGTGTGTGTGTGTGTGTGTGTGTGTGAGAGAGAGAGAGAGAGAGAGAGAGGAGAGAGAGAGAGAAAAGAGAGAGAGTGCATGCACACACATGCACAGTACCTTACTGCCTTTTTGTAGCCTCCTGTTTACAGTATCTAAGGTGTAAAAGTAGCTAAAGGCCTAGCACTGACTCACTCACTGGATTGACTTTATAATTCTCTAGAGCAATTCTCCAAAGTCACTGTTTCCACAACCCGGGGTCCCGGGAAGTTTGGAATATTTATATGCTTCCTATGCTTTGCACAGGTGCTTCTAGCTTCTCTAGAGGGCCCACTTGGCCCATATGTTCCCCAGCCTAGCATTATCCTTGCCAGAGAATCAGAGTTACCCATCTGAGTCCACCCAGCCAAGGGCTGGACACAGGGTAGGCTCCTGGGCTTGGAACAATGAAGCTGAATATGCCACAGCTTCTCAGGAGCTTAGGATGTATGCCTGTCACTTCCACAACTAACTGCTTCCATTTACCATGTCCCGCTTTTACACAGAGAGATGAGGAGCCTCTTAGCAATGACATGCATGGAATTATTATTTCTGTTTTGAAGAAAATGGGCTGAGGTTCACAAGGACATGAAATTTTCTCAAGGTCATCTAACTAGTAAGTGACCAAGGAGTCAGGATTCGAACTCAAGTGTGTCTGACTTCTGAGTCAGTGTCCCTTGCCATCACACAACCCTGTTCCTTTGTGCTCTTGGGCAGAACAGCCAGCATGACCACAGTGTACACTCCACACTCCAACTCCAGGTTGGGGAGAAGTGAGGTAGGGCACAGAATCTAACATCATTGGACTAGGAGCCATCAAGCCAGTGATGTGTCCTCTCCGAAAGACTTCAAAAGCATGTCTTTTGTCCTGGGTGGACCCCAGTACACATTAATCCAATTAATGATGGTAAAGTGGCATTGAGAGAAAGGAGTCCCAGACACTGTGACAGATCTTTTGAAATGTTTTGTCTTTTAACACTGGAACTTACTATCCCTATATTACAGAGGAGGAATCCAGAGCTCAGGGCAAGACTGAATAATTTAAGGCCACAATATGGCAGACCAGCAAGCTGAGTCAAGTACTGCTGACCCCAGAGCCTGCAGCCTTTCCATGACATCACACTACCTCTCTCCATGTCAAGGTCATGGGATTCCTGAGTTTTTCATGCATCCCCTGTAACCTTGTTCATATATGTTTCAGTCACAAGCAGACCTTCTTTTAAAATGATTGCTAGAAAGACTGGTGAAGGGGGCACTCATGCATTTTGAGCATTGGCATCTCCTCACCCACCGCCACCAACTCCATTGCCCCTTGACACTGGAAACTAAATTCTAACACTGTGGAGGGTCTGCTGGCATTTACTGTAAGTAGAAAGAATGTCATGCTTGTTTCCTGCTTCTCATTCTGTACATACCTTTTTCTTTGGCATGGTCTTCCAGAAGATTTTCTAGACAAAGAAAAGGGAAAGCAAATAAGACTCCTGGCCATTTCTGAGGAAGGTCCTGAGTCCCTGTTGGTTTTGTCAGCTCTTGAACCTTCCCAACTCCGCCATCTTCATTTCCACCCCATCACCTCTCTTCTGAACCACAAAAATGGAACCCTAATCTGTTTTGCATGTGCTGTCTTACTCCTCTGGTCTCTTCACAACACAGTAGCCAAAGCGCCCTCTTCAAAGCACAGTTCTGAGAACCCCAGTCAGTGCTTTACCACTGCTTTGGAGATAAAAGCTTTGAACTCCTCCATCAACACAAACAGAGGGTGGTAGAACTTTAGTTCTGTGAGTCCTGGAGGTACAGAAATCAACAAAACAAAAGCGTGCCCCCCACCCGCCCCCAGCCCTGCCTGGATACTTACCTACCTCCATCACCTGTTCATAGAGAAGCTTCTCTAGAAAGGAGAGAGGAAGGGCGAGCTCAGCTTAGGAAGCACTTTCCAACACACGCTGTTGCCCAAACATGGCCTAAGCCATCTGCATAGGACTGACCCCCTTGCCAATATAGGTGTATGGCTGTTTGAAAAGATCAGAGTCTTCACACCATCAAATGAGGGAAGAGATGGTGGGTTACGTAACTTTCCAAATCCTTTGCAATCAAGAGCCCAAGAAATGTGACCATTTTAATAAGGGATTTTTTTTTCCAAGTGAATAAATTGGATTTCCTGATTAGAGGACTCTAATATCTTAGTTAATTAGAAAGCTGCCAGGGTTGGTTCCTATCTAATTCCTCAAAAGATGAGAATTCCTAGCTCTACTTAGGGGCTCTCTGCAGTTTAGTCCATTCCCTCTGCCATGTGGGTCCCTGGTTTATGACCGTCCCAGTTTTCAACTCGCAGGGTCTCCCTCCTGCAGTAATGCCATGTCCACATCTGCTTCTGTTGATCTTTCCCCAGAGCAGTCACAGTCTCCCTCACTCCTCACACCCGCACCCTCACAGCTCCTTTACCAGCAAGTTACCTTTTGATCTTTTTTGTTTACAGATGAGCCAAATGCCAAGAAGGATGAGGAGCCCCAAGATAGGCAAGACCACAGAGAGAGCCACGGCTGGAGAGGACAGACTTCCGGGAGCTGGGGCTGAAAGGGAGACCACAGTGACTACACTCAAGGAGACATCTGAGAGCAGCTCCCTGCCTCGGAGGGCAGATGGCTCAGGCACATCCAACTGTCTCCATCACCTCTAGGGAGAGCCCTGCCAAGATTGATGAAGCTCTTTGCTTCTCTTGTTAACTCAAACTCTGGATGACAAAGAGAAATGGGCTGTTCACATCTCATAAAGTCTTCTCAACCACAAGCTTACCCTGTCCTCTTAACTCCATGAACAAATGCTCTAGGGCCTCAAAGTCCTGAATGTGTGCTTTGTAATAATTACCAGCAGTCCCCCAGGAGTCCTGCCAGCCTTCTCCCCAATCCCTTTCTGTTGTGCAACCACAGGCTTGGCTACAACAGTGGGTTCCAGACCAGCTACTCTGCTCCACCATCAGCAGTGACAGGCAATACGAGGTCTTTGGACCATAGCAGCAGGCCTAAAGCCCAGACAGGGAGGAAAAAGTGTAGGGGTGAGGCTGCATGACTGTGATCCCAGGAGGCAAGACAGGAAAGGAATGGAGCTGTGATAAGTGGTGGGAGTCCCAGATGGCTCTAGACAAGAGACCCAGCCTCTTCCCAACCTGGGCTAACTCATCTGTAAAATGGAGATGGTAAGAGTCCTAATTCCCTGGGACTGTGCAGGAGGGGAAGGACTTAAATAAGTAATCTTAAACTCTTATCGGCTAGGGAGAGGCAGCAGAAGGGGGTGGGCAGAAAGGGAGGAATGAAGAAAAGGATTGGCAGATGTCCAGGAGGATTCTTTACCAGCTTATTTTATCACATGACTCCATATTTTAAAGCTTCACGCTTTTTAACCCAGCCGTTCTGTTTATTTTTTAGATTGTCTTCTGAATCAGCTCCCAAATATGTGTGACGATGTCCACTGCATCATTAGTTATAACATGGGGGGTGGAAATTGCAAAGCATCTGGAGTCCCAGAGACAGCCTTCAGTTAAAGTGTTTGACTCCCCAAAATCAGTTTATGAAAAAAATACTTAACGATATAGACAAAAAATAGCTTATGAGTTGAGAAGTCAGAAAGGAAAAGAGGTGCAAATATGCACACATACACATAGCATGTGTACACTCCTCAGAAGGCATGTGCATGGAGGTGAGTCTCGAGAGCAAGACCCCCAAAACGTTAGCAGTAGTTCTCTGTAATTTATGACATTCTTTGCCATTGTTTTGATTTCTCCAAAATGCTCCACTTTTCCAGGTTTGTTTGGTTTTTTTTCAATATACATTCTTAGAGCTGTAATATGATATGATTCATAGAACAAAAAACTTGAAAAAATTAATTTAAAAGAAATTTTATGTGTATTGGTGTTTTGCTTGCATGTATGTGTGTCTGTTTCCGGTGCCCCAACCACTGAGCTATCTCCCTACCCCTGAAAATTCTTTATAAAGGTCCCACTGAGGTAGGAGTTTCCTTCACACTTCTCAGGAGCCTCAAGCTGATTTGCACCCCAGCATTACCTCCAATAACCATGATTGTGGTCTTCTCTTGGCCAAGGACCTCATTACGAACAGTGCAGGACACATTTCCCACAGCGTTGTCCCTGACTCTGCTGGACACTGCTGTTTGGAATAGTGCAGTTTCATCCAGGGAGTGGGCCTCCGTTAGGGACTGAAGCACTCTACCCTCAGTGTCTCTCCACTCGGTCCAGGGCTTTGGGAACCATCCCATTGACTGGCACACCAGCTGGATCCACCCAGCATCATAGCTCTTCACGTGGATGAAGGGATCAGAACCTAAAACTGAAGAGGACAGATTGCCTGATTGAGACAACCCAGCTGACTGGCAGGGGCCTGGCAAAGGCAAGGTCCTAGACAATGTCCTGCCCTCTACCCCTTCCTCTGATGGACAGCCACGGCTGTTAACAGAGCTTAGTTTCTTATCCTTCCTTATCCGTACCCACAGCTGCTCTATCCACCGCAATAAAGTAAAACAGTCAATCCAAATGAAGTTCACGGTCTATTCATGGCAATACCAGCACCATACTATTCTGATTATTTGGGGTACCTCAGTCCCTGTTTGAAAATGACTTGCCCCCCACACAAAGGACTCCATGATTGAAAAGAGTACACCAACTATTGTGTTTTATAAATGAATCTGTCCCTCTTATGTAACTAAATGACAATCAAAAGATGATCAGGTTGGAGAGATGAGATGACTCAGGCTGCCCTTTCAGAGGACCCAGGCTTGATTCCCAGCAGCCACCTGGCAGCTCACAAATGTCTGTAATTCCAGTCCCAAGGGGAATCTGACACACTTTTCTGGAGTCTGTGGGCCCCAGGCACCCATGTGGTATACAGATATACATGCAGGCAAAACACCCAAACACATAAGATAAAAATAAATAAATCTTTTAAAAGATAATCAAGTAATCCCATGGAAGTGGCATGAAGCGAACACAGAGACTTGGGTTGGGTCTGAGTTAGACTGATTCTTATAAAAATCACTGAGCAAAAAAATGAAATATAAATAAACACTGAGCTAGTTTGAGGAACAGTATCTGACTTCTGGCCCTTTAAATACTCAAGAACCTGGGAAAGGACCGTGAAGCAAATTCTTGCCACAGCTGGGAATTCTGGTCCTTGAGGACTTTTCCTTGCTGCCCTGGTTCTGAGTTTCTTGGTAATGGAGCAGAGAAAGCTGCCCTTGTCCGAGCCTGCAAGCCTGTGTTTATCCAGGTCCTGCACCTTACAGTGTTTTCCACAATCCAGGGTTCTTCCCCTCTCAGAAAGAAACACTAGTTGGGACTTCGTTGAGATGAGCAGATCGGACTAGAGAAGGAAGAACTGACAAAGCAATTGATGCAAATAACCCAAACCCCTCCAAACCAACCTAACCTGCCACTTGCAGGGTCACGTTGCCTTCTTGACTCTGGTTTCCGACTCGGAACTGGCACTGATACAGCCCTCGGTCCTCGAGCCTAACATTACTGATGTGCAGAGTGTAACTTCCCTTGTGAGTATCTCTCACCAGCTTCGTCCTGCCCTTATATTCCGGCATCAGATCTTCATCACTGTCCTGCCCGTCCCGGAGCACGTGGACAGCCTGGGTGTGAGGCAGGTGTTGCCACCTTACCTCGCTGAGCACCATGCCCGGCCAGAGCAAAAGGGGGCAGGACAGCTCCGCTGTGCCTCCGAGTGGGACGTGGTAGTACTTGTCAGCATCCCCTGCATGACAGAGACCAAAAGGAGAGAAGGATACTGAAGAGATGGCTTGGGGGTGGGGGGGACTGAGAAAGAGGAGCATTTTAGGGAAGCGGAAAACGGACCCCAAGAAGAACCAAATTCCAGCGAGATGTCTCGGACATCCCAAGCAGAGCAAGATCCAAAACGCCTACCTGACACTGGAGCAGGCAGCTGGAGGAAGGCTAGAGTGAGGAGGCAGCCGAGAAGCCAGGAGCCGGAGGTACTTGGTGGTCTCTCCATATGAACTAGGACAGACACCGAAAGAGGACTGATGAACTTAGGCTAAGGAACCTAGTACCTGGGGCTGAGATCCAGGTCATATGTTCCACTCAAGGAACAAGGGACACATGCTATTAAGCCCAGCTTCACTACCCACTCCCTTGTGACACTACCTTTATGCTCATGTGACAATGTGACTAAAATTCTCAGAAACTCTTTCTTTTCTTCATCTTTAAATATTTTTAATTCTACGTATATATGAGGGGAGGCATGTGTGCCACGTGAGTACAGGTGCCCTCAGAGGCTAGAGGAGGGTGTCAGCTCTCCTGTTAACTGGAGACACTGGTGGTTGTGAGAGGCCTGATGTGGCTCCAGAGAATGGTAGCCTGCAAGAGTAGCAAGTGCTTTTGTTTGTTTTTTGTTTTGTTTTGTTTTTTCGAGACAGGGTTTCTCTGTGTAGCTCTGGAACCTATCCTGGCACTCGCTCTGGAGACCAGGCTGGCCTTGAACGCAGATCCAACTGCCTCTGCCTCCCAAGTGCTGGGACCAAAGGCGTGAGCCACCAACGCCCGGCAGCAAGTGCTCTTAATGCTGAGCCTCCCTGACACCCTTTTAGGTTTATATATAACCAAAGAGGCTTCCAAGTCCACCATTTCATCACGGAGGCACTGAGCCTTCAAGCAGCCACTGGGAGTTTAGTAGACCTGGGTTCAGGTCTCACCTATTTCCACTAGCTAGCTCTACATCTCTAGCAAAGTTATGTACTATCCGTGATGCCAAGTTCTCAATCCAGAGGGATGGGGCTTCTTCACAAGTAGGTGGGAGGATTCAAGAAAAGAATGTGCACCAAGGACTGACCATAGATGCCTGGAGAACAAGGGCTGGATAAACGTGTACTGAACTAAAAGGGGATAGCTGTAGTTCAGAGGTGCAGATCACTGTGTGCTCTCGCAGGGGAGACCCAGAGGGTTCCCTAGTAAAGCTCTGCCCGCCCACTTGCTGTTGCTGAAGAGCCTTTAACAGGAGGCAGAATCTTTCAAGCCACACTGAGGAAGACGTTGAAAATGCCAACACTCTTAGGAAGAGAGAAGACTCCCGAAGTCTCTCCAACATTTCACATCCTTTGTATCTCCTTGATTATCAGAAAACGATCTGGGGGTGCTGGAGAGATGGCTGAACTGTTAAGTGCACTTCCTGCTCTTGCAGAGGACCTGGGTTCAATTCCCAGCACCTACATGGCAGGTCACAACTATCTGTAACTCCAGCTCCAGGGGATCCAATTCCCTCCACAGGCACTAGGCATGCACCTGGTATATATACATTGCATGCAGACACGCACTCACACACATAAAATAAGAAACAATGGATCTTTTTAAGAGCATAAAACCATCGTGACGCTTTGGTACCTGATGTTTTCTGTGAACGTGACATCACACACATTTTCCATACCGCCACATATTCTTCTAAATAGCTTCAGTGTTTCAACGCGGACCTGTGAGAATTTTAAAAAATAATTCCCTATGATAGGCTTGAACATTGCTACAAAAGACAGCGGGTTGGCGACTGGAATTAGGAGGCTTAGTCCTAGGAGTAGTAATGTAGTCTTCAACTAAATGATACTCTAAATTAAAGGAAACTGCTTAAACTCTTAGGCCTTGAGTCTCCTAATTTTAAAATAGGAACGTTTTAGAATTTCACCACCAAATTGCCCTAAGGAAAGGCTAAATCAAATCAATCAAAATAAATTTTCTTGTTTTCCTACAGCCTTGCCTTCAGTGGAATGTATCAAGTTTTTAAAGTTTTTACCAATTTGATAACGAAATTGTATTTCTTAGAATTTGATAGTCCTCCACACCAATCTGTATTTCCTTGATTATTCATTTATTTGGTCCTTGTCAGTGACTTCCTCTATATTTTGCTGGTTTTTCTCCTTGTCACATTTGCCTTTTAATGGCTTGCAAAATTTTTCATATGGTAACCAATTTTCTTCCCATGACACAAAATGAAAGTATTTTCCCCCAGTCAGAGTCAGTTACATTTTAAGTTTGAATTAGCTTGATTTTTTAAAGCTTCTAAATCAGAAAAAAAAAGAAAACAAAAAAAGGAGGAGGAAAGGATCCCAACAGACATTCTTTTGCTGATCTTGAGCAGTTTAAGAAGATCCCAGGCATCTATAAATTCAGTCACCAGTTCAGGACCCAGCAGATAGTGAAGGAAAACTTCGTACCTGCTCAAGTATTAATAGCACTGTGGTGTTAGTAAGAGACAGAGCCTTCCATCATTCTTGCCACTTATTATATTTGGGCTCCTAACTGACAGCTAACCATTGTCCCATTTTATCCTTTAAGATGTTCTTTGTAAAAAAGGAAGATTATTTCTCTATATTAATGAGCTTAAGGATCCTGAGAAATTTAAAGATCTAGATAGACTAAGAAAAGGAAGATGGGAAAGAACTCACCACATTTGGGATACAGAATCTTTGTTCTTTAGTGGCAGAGCTGGAACCTTCTAGCTGGGAATATTATCTCCCCATGGGCCGGGTGACCTGACATCAGGCAGGAGTGCCAGGAAGATCCCAAGAGATGAGCCTGGGGAAAGTTCATATTCTAGACTGAAGGCCAGAGAGCCTCAAAGTCAAGGGCTCCCTCTACCCCATAGATGGCCTTCTGGCAGTCCCTACAAACAAACAAGCAACGCCCTGTCTGCCCATCCCTGATAAAGCAGGAGTGTGGAAAGGAGGCTCCCAAAGCAAGGGGACAGCCTACTGCTGTGGCAAAGAAAGGGCTTTCCCCCAGCTCTCTTTTTCCCCCAATACTTGGTGCAACAGTGACTCCTGAAATTTGATGCCATCACTCCTTTTTGTTTGGTTTTGCTTTTTGTTTTTGTTTGTTTGTTTGTTTTTTCGAGACAGGGTTTCTCTGTGACTTTGGAGGCTGTCCTGGTACTAGCTCTTGTAGAACAGGCTGGTCTTGAACTCACAGAGATCCACTTTCCTCTGCTGGGACTAAAGGTGTGCGCCACCACCGCCCAGCTCATCACTCCTTTTCTTAAGAGCTTGCTCTCCTTTACATCCCAACCAGCATAGATTAGAAGATTTGTGAATGGAACTGGAACCCATGTAAAGGGAAATAAGGCAAACTCAGGAAACAATACTGATCGTTTCTTCCTATATGTGGAACTAACATTTAGAGGTGTGTGTGTGTGTGTGTGTGTGTGTGTGTGTGTGTGTGTGTGTGTGTAAGTTATGAAAGTAGAAAGGAGACCATGGGAGAGGAGAAAGAAACTATAAAAGCAGGGGAAGATCAAAGTAATACAGGCAATATGAAAGCAGAAGGGAGAACAATTGGGGAGGAGGAGGAATAGCAAGAAGGGGCTGGGAATGTATGAGAAGGTACTGGGACAGGGGATGAATAAGGATAAAGTGTAATCGCATACACATATGAAAATGCTGTGAGGAAACCTGTCACCCTGTATGCTAACTTAAACTAACTTAAAAAATTAGAAGGTTGGCTTCAAGACACCCGCCAATCAGCCATACTCTTTAACCCACAGCTTTATCTCCAGTTACACCTTGATGTATGCTTTCAGACCAGCAAACTTGCTTCCTGCCCCTCCTGTGTTACACCCTTCCCAGCTTGCTAACCTTCATACTGCCCATGACTGTATTCGCAGCAATAAAAACTACGCACTTGGACTTTTATAAGATCCCCTGGGGTTTCTTTTGCTCAGTCAACCCTGGTTTTGAGTCTAGCAGATTTTGTTGGTGGCCTGCATCGGAGCCCCTGATGAGGGCTGAACTGTCACCTAATTTCAGTGTAGCTGAGACTTGTCAGGAAGCTGTAGGGCTCCAGCAGCTCTTTGCTTACTGTCAGATTCTACACAAAGGCTCCGAAGCCCATTTAGACCATGGGCATCCCCAGAGTTCACCATGGGTAGTGTTCTAAGGAATCTCAGGAGCAGCTCTGAGCCATCTTTACTACATACTCCTCTAAGATGTCCCACTGGGACCCTAGATGCAAGAAACCTTTTTCTGGGCTGGAGAGACGGCTCAGCAGTTAAGAGTACTGGATGCACTTCCAGATGACCTGGGTTCAATTCCCAGCAACTACATGGCAGCTTACAACTGTCAATAACTCCTGTTCCAGGGGATCTGACACCCTCACACAGACATATGTGGTCAAAGAACATAAAATAAAAATATTTTTTTTAAAAAAGAAAACACGGCCGGGCGGTGGTGGCGCGCGCCTTTAGTCCCAGCACTCGGGAGGCAGAGGCAGGCGGATCTCTGTGAGTTTGAGGCCAGCCTGGTCTACAAGAACTAATTCCAGGACAGCTTCCAAAGCTACAGAGAAACCCTGTCTCAATAAATAAATAAATAGAAAACACAAGAAAGAAAGAAAGAAAGAAAGAAAGAAAGAAAGAAAGAAAGAAAGAAAGAGAGAGAGAGAGAGAGAAAGAGAGAAAGAAAGAAGAAAGAGAAAGAAAGAAAGAAAGAAAGAGACCCTTTTCTTCTTCTGGATATCCTCCTGAAAATTCTTGCATTGAAGGGCTTCTCTCACACTCTGCTTTGGGTGTAGAGTGGTGGTGTAGTAATGAAGACACTGGAATTTATCCATCTGTCAAGACTCTGGGCTTCATCTCCAGAACACATACATACACATACACACACACACATTCCTTACACATTCATCACTCATTTGTATGAGGAAACTTCCAACTCCTCTGTCTCCTAGTTATCTTGAATATATAATAGATTATTATAAATGTACTCACCCTAGAACACTACAGCTTATCTATATGTTGAATCATATATTGGCAGTCATAACCCAGCCCTTGTCTATGTCCCTTTCCCCAAGTTTTAATTGTTTGTCTTCAGACAGCATCTCACTCCATAGTCCAGACTGTCCTCAAATTTGTAATCCTCCTGCATCTGCCTCTTGAGTGATGGGATTAAAGCTGTTCATAAAATCAGGCCCCACCATGCTTCTCTTTAAGGGGTAAATGGATGGAGTTCTGGACTTCCAGCTAAACAAATATGGTTTTATTGAACACCTCCCCAGCCCCCTAACCACTAGACTTTTAAAAGGGCATTTCTTGTCTTTTCTCCTTTATTTAGTTTTGTTTGTTTGTTGGTTGGTTGGTTAGTTGTTTTTTTCAAGACAGGGTTTCTCTGTGTAGCTTTGGAGCCTGTCCTGGAACTCAATTTGTTGACCAGGCTGGCCTTGAACTTACAGATATCCCCTGCCTCTGTCTCCTAAGTACTGGAATTAAAGTCATGTGCCTCTACATGGGATTAAAGGTATATTAAAAATCAACATCTTCTCATAGTTAAGTGGTGTTTTCTGTACTTTAAAATTTCTCAGAAACACTTGGCAGTTGGGAGGCAGAGCAGGCCAGTCTGGTCTATAGAGTGAGTTCTAGGATACCAGGGCTACACAGAAAAACCTTGTCGCAGGAAAAAAAAATTTGAATGTTGGCTGATGTAGTGTTTTCCTCTTAAAATAGTGCTATTTGTGATCATTTACTTATGACAACTTCTTAAAAGTCAAATTGCTTAAAATGGTTGGAGCCAATTCTATAAATTGGAGTAAAAAACCCTCTGGTGTTAGGGATTGAATTTACCGTCTCACACACACTGTAGCATGTGTTCCACCACTGTGCTATATCCCCAACCCTCTTCTTACTTTTGTGAGACAGAGTCTCAGTAAGTTGCCCTAGGCTGATCTTGAACTCATTCCATATGTAGCCCAGGCTGTGGTTCAGCTTGTAATCCTCCTGCCTCCGCTTTTCCAGTAGCTAAGTAGAGACACAGTATTTCAGTTGTTTAAAGTCTAGATACAAAAGTATTAACATTGCTGTTCATCAAATCTTCTGAATTTTGTCTTGCAAAATGAACTCTATATCATAAAACAAGAGCTCTCCTTTCCACTCAACACTCCCAGTCCTGGATGTCACTCTCCCAACACAAACCCCTGACAGCCTCTCACACATACACATACACACACCACGCCCCTGGCAATCACTCCCCGGCCCCAGACCCTGACAGCCACTTCATGTTTCTTAAGAGTCTGACTAATTTTGATACCTTGTATAAACAAATGGAAGCTTGCAGTAATGTGTGTGTGGTGTGTGTGTGTGTGTGTGTGTGTGTGAGCTCCCACTCATGTGATTATGCCCATTTTTAAAGTTTTGGAATCTAATGCAGAATTGGCCTCCCAAGAGAATATAACTCACTCTTGGACTGAAAGTATCTAGGTGTCCATGTAGGCTTCCCATTGGATGCTTAATATGTAGGCCTGGGAGGTGTGGGATTTGCCAGGTAGATCAGGCTTAAATACAGAGATCAATTTGCCTCTGCCTTTGGAGTGCTGGGATTAAGTGTGTACCGTCATGTACAGAAATTCTTACCACTTTGACAGAGGAACAAAGCAGGTCTGAATGTGTTTCCAGAGGTCATTGTCCTCTGAATCCTGCCTAAAATACTGGTTTTAGCACTTCCTAGATGGGTGACCTTGGACAAATCACTTTTCAATGCCTGCTCCTGTATAGAATGTGCATGACAGCTTACTGGTACACATGTCTATATAATGTATCCTTATTTTGAGGAATAGGGACTTAAAATGTAATGTTCTAAGAATAGTGCCTGGAGGGCTGGAGAGATGATGGCTCAGCGGCTTAAGAGCACTGACTGCTCTTCCAGAAGTCCTGAGTTCAATTCCCAGTAACCACATGGTGGCTCACCACCACCTTGAATGAGATCTGGTACCTTCTGCTGGCATGCGGGCAAAAGACTGTATACATGATAAATTTAAAAAAAGTGCCTGGAGTATAGGAAGACCCAAAGAGAAGCAGCTATTGTTATTACTCTGGCTCCTCCTTCGCTTCCTTCTCTTCAGTCAATTCTTGCTAATATAACAAATGAAAATGATAGCTAGAAATTTTATTTTACACCCCTTTGATAATTCTGTCCCCCACCCTGTATCTCTCTCTGTCTCTCTCTCTCCCCAACTTATAGAGAACCTCGTGCCTATGCCTCCCCAGTGCTGGGATTAAAGGTGTACAACACCAGGCCTGGTTAGGGGCCCGTATTTAAATGGTTTGGTTTGGTTTTGTTGTTCTCTCTCTCAAAGTTTTCAAAGCACCGTGGCAAACAGGATCCCATTTGATCCTCCTTATAGACCCGTAAATCAGGAAGGAAGCAATCATCAATCCTGACTTTTTGGATTTAGAACCTGATGCTCAGAATTCCAGTGCTAACCAATTCCAATTCCAGGAATCAGATTTCGCCTTTCAAAGCCTCGCAGTTGTCCCAGAAACCAGACGCCGCCGCCCGAGAAAAGCTTTGGTTACTTGTAAGAATGTCCCAGCCACAGGCCCCGCCCCTCCCGTTTCA